AGATAATCCAGGACGAGTAAATGTCAGTGTTGAAAGCAGAAGGGGTTGGGAAGTGGTGCAGCTCTGGGCCTGCCAGATGTTCTTCTCCCTTCCCGGCCTTTCAGATTTGTGTAGGTTTATGTTACGTGCCGGGGTCTGGAAGGGGAAGGGAATGAAGGGAACTTGGTTTACAAAACAAACAGATTCCTTGGTAATGTAAAGCCTCGGCGGCAGCGTTAGCCTGCCTGACTCGGATTCCTCCAAACCTCCATTAAAATACCAGCAGCAAGTGTGGCTGCTATTTTTGGCCACTTTTGAAGAAAGCTGGGGAGGAAAATTCTCTTTTCAAATTGAAGCCACGCTCGCAGCGAGCATTCCTTGTTTGTTCCTTCCCATTTATCCAGCAACGCCACCGAAGGCAGAGCCAGGAAGGAGGGAACAACGGCGGGGAGGACATCCCTAAAGCCAGATGGAGTTTGCTTAAGACATCAGACACCCCCGGAACCAGCTCCCAGGGAAAGGGTATCCATGACTGTTAGCGAAGCAGTGGGAAAGGGTGTTAATATTGGAACCAAATGCCGGAGCCGGTCGCGGAGGCAGAAGGGCTGTGGTGGACCCGGAGGGTTTGAGGGTGGGCACAGTGTGGTTTGACACCCTCCAGTGCGGGGGAAACGGGCTCTTGAGCGTGGAGAATGAGTTGTGGTTTCAGCTGGTGACAGGAGACCTGCAGTCAGGGCTGTGTTTATTGCTGCGAGGGGGGAGTCGTCAGCAACTGGGAAGGAGGTTGTCGCTTTGCTTTGGAAAACAAGCCCCGGGTAACAATTGCCACGGAGCAACGCGGATGCTGGGTTCTGGCATAACTGCTACCCACAGAAGCCAGCACATGAGGCTCCTCCGTGCTGCTGTGTCATTATGCAACTTTTTTTGGCCTTTAGTGGCTTTTTGTGCCATCCCTTTCCCTTTCGCCACTGAGGCTCTTCCTTCTCAGCCCCGCTGCAGAACACGCGCGGTACCATGTCGCCTCAGGCCAAAGGCACCCAAAGTCCTGCTTCCAGCAGCAACCAGAGGACTGAATGTCCCAAATTTGGGTGTTAAGAGAATGTATTCATAGCTTTTCATAAAGTCCCCTCGTCCTGTCCCTACATGTCACTTTTACTCGCCTTCTCTGTAACTCACAGAATTTACAGCTCACTATCATGTCTTTCCCTCATTTTAGCCCTCACCTATCCAGACTCTCCTCCTGCAGAAACTATTCCCAGCCCTATAATCCCAGCTGCCACATTTCACAGCCCCTCTGCTTGTTCTTCTACACCCTTCTTGAAACTGGGTGCAGACACACCAGCAGCTTTCAACCCACTGGCATGCCTCAGGTTCACACTGCCTTTTGTCTGCACTGTGCAAACAGATCACATTCCCAGGAGCTGCTTCCCGCCTTCTCCTCTGAACGCAGCTACTGCCATGGATGCAGCCACCCAGCTGTCTAAAAAAGACTTAAAATAAGGGCTGTGGGCAGAGGATCCTTAGGCTATCATTTTGCATTTTGGTGGTTTCTCACTATGATGGCAGCTGAAGTTGCCCTGCCCGCTTTGAGGAGTGTGCAGTGAATCATGTCGTGGAATAGATCCAGCAGGAAAGGGGGGGAAAAAAAGGGCATTTTTCAGCCAAATAAACTCTCTGACTGGGTGCTTGCACCAGGGAATGAGCTGTGAGGCTGAGCTGCTCCAGTTGATCCTACCACTAGAAGAACTGCACTGCTTAAGCCACTCAGGTGCTTTGGAAGTGTTACCTGGCACCAGTTCTTCTAAACCTCTCAATGCCTGAGCATGTCTTGTGGTGTGGTTGGGAGCTGTTCTAAACCCCAGCAGCTCCCAGAAATGACTTAAGGACTTCCATATCAAAACCAAATGCCTCAACCCCCCTCTGCCCCATCATCAGAAGCTGGTACAGCATATTAGGAACTGATACAAATTAATAAACACAACATTAAAACTGAATTTACTGCCATTAAACACTGAGGCAAAGCAGTGGGACTCTTCTGTGACACAGACTGGATCTGGGATGAGATTTAGTTTTGTGTTTCCACTCAGCAAGGTCCAACAATAACTTATTTATACAACTACATGATGGGATCACTTTCTGAAGGTTTCATCTTTCTTTCGCCCTCCAAATGAACCTTTAAGCATCTCTTCAAATTATTTATGTGAGTTTTAAGGTGGTAAGGAAGAACTTTAAATATGGGACCACTTATTAAATTCCACTGACCTTAAATCTCATTCAGCTGAGTTTACTAAGGCAAGATGCTGAAAGAGCCGAGAAACTTAAGTCACTTCATATCACTAAAAATCTGTATCTAAGTTCTTGTGAAGGGAAGTTGGAGGAGCTTAAATCTGTTATTAATATCACATAATATTCCAGGGTGAAGAAAGGAAATGTCTCTTTGCCATCTTGCCTTTAGCGAAAGAACTGTCATTTCCTAGTAGCAACTTCATGAAGTAATAAGCAACTTGTTCGACTTGGAGAAGAGAAGGTTCCTTAAGGGGACACCTTAGAGCAGCTCCAGTGCCTAAAGGGGCTCCAGGAAACCTGGAGAGGGGCTTTGGACAAGGGATGGAGGGACAGGACAAGGGGAATGGCTTGAACCTGCCAGAGGGGAGACTGAGATGAGCTCTGAGGCAGAAGCTCTTCCCTGTGAGGGTGCTGAGGCGCTGGCACAGGGTGCCCAGAGAAGCTGTGGCTGCCCCATCCCTGGCAGTGTTCAAGGCCAGGTTGGACACAGGGGCTTGGAGCAACCTGCTCTAGTGGAAGGTGTCCCTGCCCGTGGCAGGGGTTGGAGCTGGATGAGCTTTACCCCAGAAATACCCACATCTCTTAAAACCCAACTGAAAGCACCTTCTTTGTAAGATCTGCTATTACAGTGGTCAGGAACAAATCAATACATCATTTAGGAGGGGAAGGGGAATAAAAGAGAATAAAACTTGAAGCACAAATGCTTAGTGTGAGGTTTTGAGGGCTGCAAGTGCTCCTACCTGGCTGGACATGGAGTCTGCCAGTGGACTGTGCAAATCCAACCCCGTTGTCTGCCACACACTGGTACAAGCCAGAGTCCTCCTGGGTGACACCACGGATCCGCAGGCTGCTTCCCATCGGCAGACGTCGTGGAGAGGGGTGGATGGGAGCTGCATTGTGGAGCCAGGTGAGGGTTGGAGCAGGGCTTCCATCAACATCACACCAGAAGTGCACAGTGGCTCCAGCAGCCGCCGTTTCCTCTTGCAGTCCCTTGGAGATGGAGGCAGGTTCTAGAAAGGGAAATAAAAACCACGACACATTGATCTTAGCCTAAGTCCTGACAAAATAGGCCTGCTTTTGTACATAGCACATACAAAGGCCAAGCAAGCCCCATGTGCTTCTAGTAGTACCCAGCCTAAAGCTGTTTTTCCCCACATACTTGCTTACTTTAATGGTCTCTCCCTTCTATTCCAAGCAGTCACGTGTTTGGCTTAATACTGCAAACGAACCCCCTGTATTTTCAAAGCAATTCTTCCACGACATCCCCTTAACAAAAGGCTTTTTGTGTGTCAACAACCTGTTTGCTGAGTTTACACACTTCAAAAATGAGTATTTACAGTCATGGATGCAAAGCCCTCAACCAAGAGCAAAACCTGCTACAAAGCAGAAGGGAGATCACAAACGACTTGCAGCGAAATGGATTTCTTTCCTTTTTGTTTTTGTCCTCATCCAAACCTATCACCTTCTCCTCGCCAGCTTCTTGCTTATACACAAGCTCAAAAGAGAAACAGCTGATCTCTGGCACGTTATGGACACTGAATCCCATCTCCACTTGGCACTCTGCAGGAAAATACATAAAGCAGCTCTTCCCTCAGAGTTTGTTATCCCTCACTGTTAAGTATTTCAGACTGTGAAGGATTCCAAGAGACAAATAGTGATGGATTTTAGCTCGGGAGAGATGGTGAGATCTGGTCATCGTGAACCCATCTTTACTCTTTATTTTGATATGCTTAGGTTGACAAAGAACTTTGGGCTGTTTGCAATCAGGTGCCAAAGCCAGCAAGGAGACAAAGAAAACATTCACTGCCTGAAGATGAAGAGTTCTTTAGTTCTTACCAAGTATAGTAAGCGAGTAGTTCACGTATTTCACTGCTCCAAATCCATTTCCCACCACACAGGAGTAATTTCCAGAGTCGGATGCCTCCAGCCTGTCTGTCACCAGATGTGAGTGCAGCAGCTTCCACCTGCCTTTTCCCAGCACATCCCGGCCCTCTTTAACCCAGCGGATGGAGGCTGGAGGGGCTCCACTGACGACACATTCCAGAGTCAGAGCGCTGTGCCGCGGCACTGCCAGGCTCTGGGGTGCCAGGGGGTGAAGTATGTGGAAGCCACCTGAGGACGAGCCTGGAAGAAAGGACATGAGGCTTATCACCCACTCTCCCATCCCATCCTCCAGTTTGCCACATCTTTCCAACGTGGCTGCTTATATTTGTGGCTCAGCACGATGCTGTAACGCTCTCTTCCAAAGTCTTGCTCCAAAATCAGTTTGGTAACTGAAGTAGTAGCAACATCCCCTTTACAAGGGCTAAGTGCTCCTTGGGATTGGAAAAGCAGTCGTGCTGCTCCTCCGCAGTAAGGGGAAGTAAGAATTGAACATGCAAATAACAGATTTTACATGACATGGTGACTGAGACCAGCAGGTATTTAGGCTGATAGACCCACACCAAAACCCTCAGGGATGGTATTCATCCACTTGGAGATGTGTTAATCCTGGAAAGCTGAACTGAATACTCACGGGTGACTACGAGCTTACGTCCAGTGAGTTCTGTTCTGAGCTCATGAGTAACTGGGTTGTACACTGCACATTTATAGGATCCTTTGTCTTCTAAAGATACATTCAGAATCTGCAGGTTTCCAGATGGAAGAATTAGGTAGTTGTCTAAACAAATGGGGAGGGGAAAAAGAAGATTACATTTAAATTAGTGTCCAAAAAGGCTTTTATTTCTTTATTTTTTAAATGACTTGTCAGACGCATCAACCTATTCTAAATGCAGGATCACAAAGAAATCCAGGCATGCTTCCGTTGGCACAAACCATCTCACCTCTGGATTGCTCCAGCCATTTCCCTCGCACTTGAAAGCGAACCTGGGCCTTAGGGTGGCTTTCTGGGACCTTGCACCCGATGAAAGCTGTGCCTCCTTCCTCTGCCACCACAACGGGCTTCACCGACCCATCAAAGTCACCTAAACCTAGAAGGGAATTGGTAGAAGGTTGAGAGCAGCCACAGCTTGGGAAAGGGGAAGGGCAGCGAGCTGGGGTTTGTGTGTAAAATACAGCTGGTCCCAAGCTGATCATCTTTAGTGGAGCCAATGATCCCAAACTGAGAGAGGCAGTGGACACTTTGGAAGGGAGAGCCACCCTGCAGAACGAACTGGGTAAGCTGGAAGAGTGGGTTGAGAAGGGCCTTATGGAGTTCAACAAGGAAAAGTGGAAGGTCTTGCGCCTGGATAAACTCAATCCAAGAGTGCAGCAGGAGCTGGAAACAGGCTTCCTTGCTACAGAGAGGGCCAGCTCTTGCATGGGAATAGTGAGGAAAAGATAGTTCCTAAGATCCCTCAGCTGCTCCAGGAAAAGCACCCAGGGATATTGGAAAGCCTGCAGTGCTTACGTCTGGGCTCCAAAAGCAGAGTTTAAGAGGAGGAAGCCTGTAAGAAACATGGAATTGTCTTTCTGTGATCATAATTAACGCAACCCTGAGTCCAGCAGTGCCTCCTGCTCATTGCCAGGAGCCACGAGGCCAGCAGGAAGCCTCAGCACCTACCAGCACCTTCTCATTTGCTGCTAACATCTCTAAAGGAGGAGAACGGCGTGAAAGCTGCTCTTCCACTCCCTTCAGATTCAAAGCATCTTCTAGGTTGTGAAGTTTTTCTGTGTTAGCCACCCTTACAGCTCTCTCGAGAGGGTCTTGCTATGGGTCAGCACTTTACCAAAACACTCACTTTCTCACTTATATGAAATCTTCCTCCCCGGGGGATTCTGGACATGCTCCATAGATGAGGTACCCCCACAGAGAAATCACTCAAATCCTGCTCGACAAAGGCCTGATTCAGCAGCCCCGTGATCCCGAGCAGACACGTGCTCAGGGAGGAGTATTACATTCCCATTCTCAGCACCACATCGTCTTTTCCATGTGGAAAACTGCGCCGTTCCTCTTCCGAAGTCCTTTAAGATCAAGTAATTTACAGATCAAGCCCCAAAGACTGGTTAGAAGAACCAGTGGAATTGAGAGAAGGGAAGTTGTCCCTAGAAGGACAAAAGGGACATCCAGGGAGTTTTGACCAAATAATATGCTACAAGAGAACAGGAAAACTTACAGCTCCCACTTACTTCCCAAGCAACAATTCCCACTCATCTCTCCTTAGCTCTCAAACACTGCATGGGAGCTCAGTTGCTCTTTCAAGGTGCTTTCAGGAACCTTGTACTTCATTTGGAAGTTTCCATTGGAAAACCAAACCATACAAACCAGCCGAGGTCTGTATAATCAGCAAGGAGTGAGGAATGCAAAGGAAAATGAACTTACTGGCCATGGATACCGTGGCAGGCCGGCTCACAACGGCACCCACGCTGCTGTTTGCAACACACTGATAGAGCCCAGATGTTGCCAGGCTGAGGGAGATGATTGTCAAAGATCCTGGCTGGATTTCCACTTCTCCCACCTCGCTGTCCAGAGGCTCCCCATTGAAGAGCCATGACAGGAGAGCTGAGGAGGGCTCAGCAGAGCAGCGGAGTTGCACACGGCCACCAGACTTCTGGACAGTGGACGAGGGCTCGGAAATGAAATGTGGAGTTAAATCTAAATGGGAACAAAATATACACAGGAAAAATTCAGTTAGTGAAGAGTATTCTGCATGAACATAACACAGGAAAGACCATGATGTGTATTACAGCAATGCAAGTGTTGTCTTTTCTGCTGCAAGAGGAACTCATGACACATTCCCGCTCTCCCTCAAACACCCAGGAAAGCTTCAAGAGTTAAACCCCATGAAAGGATAACGCTCATAATCAGAATCCCAGCCTGGTTTGTGTTGGAAGGGACCTTAAAGCTCATCCAGCTCC